AGTTTGTCCAAATTCATGGTATTCTAGAATACAATGGAATGGAAATAAGCTTAGGTTCTGAAAGGGAACCCAATTATTGGGTTAATAGGATTAGTTTATAATTTTAACACCAAAATGGGATCCTCCCCCCAAAAAAAATACATATATTTCTCAGTCTTTTTTTTAAGGCTTAATATAAAACAGTGTTGTTTTCACCAGCAATGACGATGAGGAAATCATTTCGTTGATGCTCCTTTTTTTTCATGACGATAACGAAAACTGATGAGATAAACATGGATCTTCAATGACTAAAACATGACTAGTTATAGGTTTGAGTTTTTGTCAATGAGACTGAATAAAAAGTTAGCGGGTGGCCGGTCAGACATTTAAAATGAATCATTGTGCTGTAATCTGTAAAGCAGTATCAGTCGTGCTGCTGCATTTTGTTTGTTCACGCAGCCCACCTGGCATGAAGTGCTGCACCTTCTGCATGACCACAGATGGACCATGGCAGCAGCGGCAGGAGAGAAAATAAACCAGAATAGTCCAGTACTGCACGCTCAACTTACAAATCATGTTCTTCCAGCTGTGCTTGTGCAGAAATGCGTCTTTGTGCGTGCACAGCTCAGTCTCTGCCCTTTATATTCCAAACTGATGGTTTGCTCTCTTCATGTCTCTTCTGGCTTTCGCTGCTTAATATTTTATTTTATTGTCATAAAATCATTTTCTATGCTTCCTTTGAATATGTCAACATTTTAGTTAGCATATTCATTCAATTTAGGTCTGGATTGCCATGGCATTAAAAGGCAATTATGTTGGTTCTCTGTGTATTTTTATATCAAAACACTGTGAATTTAAATCTACTTTGACCCCTGAGCAGCAGTAACCAAGGGTTAAATTGAAGAAATAAAGCCAAAAATTGCCAAAGTAGAAAGAAGTTCTTCGCTTTTTTGGAGTAATGAAGATTTTATTGATCTGTGTATAATGCATAATTCATAGTAGATCAGCATGTGATTACCTTGGAATGGAAACCTTGCATGTCTAAAACCATTCCTTTGTTGTACATTCTGTTAGCTTGTCTGTCTGATATATTAAAAAATATGATGTGTTGAACTAGATCTGCTATTTTCACAGCTTTTGAGAGACATTTTGTTTATAAAGAAGCAGGGTATTATTTCATAAAAACATTTATTTGAAATCTATAAACCAAGTTTTCTGGCAAACAGCAATGATGAACTGCAGTGCTATACCCAGCTATTGTAGTATCTAGGCAGGAGCTGTCAGTCTGGTAAAGAATTTGTTTTTAAACAGACTAAAACTATAACAGATCGTAATAACTAAAATGCGACTAAGACAAATAATAGATTTCATCCTAAAGAATAAGACTAAGACTAAATCTAAGATGGCTGTCAAAAACAAAACTGATGTAAAACTTCAAGTCAGGCTTAGAAAATAAAATTTGCAAAAATTCCAGTTTCAGAAAGTGATTGGAAATTAAAGTTCTTTTTTTTTTTTTTTAAATGCACCGATTTTCTTTTATGGAACTTATGCAAACATGCAAATTATTATTCCATACATTTTCAAAGCAAACAGAATTCCTGCTTATCCATCAATCAAACATCAAGGGCCCTTCCGAATATACACAGATATGTATTACAGAAAGACAGACCTGTTGGAGAGGCTTCCAGACCAGAGAGTATTTGCCGTAAGCTAGCTGGGCTCAACCACGTCCCATCTCGAGAACGGGAATGACTCACAATCTAGAGGGAAAACAAAATATCTTATTTTATCACCAAGGCAAATTTAGAATTACAATTTATTCATCTATTTTTGGAAATGTGTATTCTTCCTTCATCTGGGTTAGTTGTGTGTGCTATTATCCTGCGGATACCTCTTGCTTCTGAAGAAAGCCGTCTTGGTTCAGGTCCAGCAGACTGAAGACCTCCTCTGTGCTTAGAGAAAGCAGAGGCTGGTTTAGCTCTGCTTGCTCCTGGCTAGGTGTTGCTGTCTGGCTATCCATCAGACCTTTGAGCTGGGCCAGCTGTACCACCACACGTGATTCTTCCTCTGACAGAAAACCAGGAATCTCTGTCATGAACGGGGAGAAATGTTTTAATTTCACATTTGCAGTCATATAACGACACAATTTTCTATGTAGTTATGTAAAGTTGGAAGATTTTCGTATTTATTTGTATGTATTTCTGTATGTCAATCAGGTTTCCATATCTGAAGACAGAACCCTCTGCAAATTCTTAAAATAGCTGACAATCAGATTACATGGAAAGAAACTGGCCACATCACTTTTCAGGTCTTGTAACATTCTGAGATCTGGATTTTCACTTTACCGTTCACATAAATCGGCTTTGTTTAGGCTGTGTGTATGTATTCTGTGTATTTAGCTTCATCCACCAACCTAAAACAAGCTCACAACAATCTATCATCATATTTCCCTCTCATGAGGACTGTTTAAACCGCAGTGTGTTCTGCATAAAGGCCTTTTTAATTTTGGTTAGATCAGATCAAAAATTTCTTTCCTAATCTTTATTATATCCCTGAAGAGGTTGTTTGAAACTGCAAACAGAACATTAGATGGCCTTTCTCGTATCAGATTACTGATATTACTGTAATCACTGAAAAAATGCTCAATGACATGTTCAAAGCTCACTAAATAACTTTATAACTTAACCCCACAAAAAATCTATCCCTCACCTGTCTGGTCAGAGTCAGTGAGGCACACATAGTTTCTAGCCTTTTCAAAGTCACCTTAACTCAAACATAGATGGCTTCTCTAAAGATAAAAGTGAAAATAAAAGCCAGAGGGCTGGAGTTTAGGCTTTACTAATCCTGTGGAATGTGGCTGAATAGACGGTGTTATAGGATTTGCTGCTGACCCCGATGTCTCACACCTTACTTACACTTAACTCTTAAGGAACAATAAAAAACATTGACATACAGACATCCACACATGGAACAAAAATGTTGGCAACCAATTGTTTAGTGAAAGAAAAACCCACAAAGAACACAAATAAAATAAATCTGACAAAAGTAATGAAAAACAGAAAAATCTATGAAGATGAACAAATGAAAGTCAGCCATTGCTTTTCAACCCTGCTTTAAAAAAAATAAAATAAAACTTAAACTCAAGAAACAGGCCTAGACAAAAAAAAAAAATGATGGTACTTAATTTAATATGCTGTTGCATACTGTTACTATTACTCTAGCTGTGAGTCAGACTTCTGCTCCTCTCAGCAGGTATTCTGGTCCACTGCTCATGAGCAAACTGCTCCAGTAGTCTCAGGTTTGAAGGCTGCCTTTATCAGTCGTGATGGTTCAGCTCCTTCCAAAGATACTCAATAGGATTTAGGTCAGGGCTCATCAAAGGCCACTTCAGAATAGACCAGTGTTTCCTCTTAATGCCTGAAGACACCAGTTGCGTACGACTTTTTAATCTCCGATCTGATTTTTTTTGCATGAGTCTGTGCCGCTTGCTATATATATATATATGCTCTGTGCAACTGTAAAACGGACTGTTTCCCGGTGCAATTTACATATCTTATTTTGTATCTTCCCCAAAAGCGGAAGTTTTTTCTCTGTAACTGTGCCTCTCTTTCTGCCGCCGAATGGCTGCGTAGTCCCCTTGCATAAAATCATGTCAGATAATCACCCCCATCGACTTTCAATGAGCGCTAAACACCATGCCGCCACAACCTCGTCCGACAGATTGGAGGCAAAATTGGATTCAGTGTTCTCTTGGCTTTAGCCAGTCCTGTGTGTTTTCAGTCAATCCAGGAGGAGGTTGGCTACAGTCCCATGGATCAACTGTAGTCACAGGAGCATCATGTTGCTTATAGCCATTATATTCATGAGATAA